AAAGTAACATCCGTGCTTTTCAGAAGACACTTTAAAGAGGTCTCGTGCAGCCAATTTACCCACGGCAATTTGCTTTTTTATCTCTTGACTGCTGCTTCCATGAGCATTGATTGTGGATCCAAGGGAGGGGAAACCTTGTCCAACTTCAGTCTTTTCTCCACTAATCACAATGTGACCTACTGGTCCACTTGCGAGGATTTTGGATGACTTATGCTCGTCTGGGTAGACTAGAGAAACAAATTCATGGCAACCATATGTGTATAAGAAAGCTTTATGTACAAGAGCAATTGAATATTGAGAAAACATCTCAGCTCAGTCCAGATCAAGTCCATAAGTCCGATATTAGCCTATATATCCAATACCAATCTATAAAGTCCTCTTCAGACTCACGCAACACAAGCAATGACACCAAATGCAGGAAGATCACAGGCCAGTGGGTGGGAAGTCTTGTGAAGCCCATGTCGGTGGAAGGATCTCAACACTGACGGGTCTCCACATGGCTTCTCTAGCTCAGGGCACTAGTGTCTTGTCAGCTGCAAAGTCTCCCAGGGAGTGAGCTGAGAGAGAGAGTATCTCCTGCCTCCAAGGAGGAAATACTGGAGTTCCCAGAATCCTCAGGAGAAGGCCATGCCCACACAGAGGCCTCATTGGCTATGACCCGATTGACAGGCCAGACTCCACCCCTTCACTCTTAATTCTCTCAAGTCCCCAAATGACACCAGATTATGTAACTACCACACTTCTTTACATTGAATTGTTATCCATACTGAAGGTTGCCATCCTTGATTTTGATCAGTAAGTGCTTAAGTCCTCTTCCCTTTCAGCAAAGCAAGGTGTGCCATCTGTATACCACAGATAAGCCTTCCTCCAGTCCAATCCTGATGCCACTTACTTCTCCAGTCAATCCAGCTTCCCTGATTCTTTACTCAGCACACAGATGGAATAAGTATGGTGAGCGGATACAACCCCTGCACACTACTTGTTACCAGTTGTTAATTAGTAAATGTTAAGTAACGAGTTTAGCTCTGCTTCACCAAAAGGCCGATGATTCCAACCCACCACAGTTCTGTGGGAGAAAACCCCTGGCAGTCCTCCGCCATGCGAGTACAGCCTCACACTGGGGGCAGCTCTGCCCTGTCTCCTCGGTTGGAATAGACTCAGTGCCACACCAACGAGGACAATGCCACAAGACGACACGAGCGTAATTACCAGAAGGAAGAGAACCAACAACGGGGAAACTGGAGATCAAAGACAGTACAGTCGAGAATATGCTGTGTAGTTTTAGTTCTGCATAGATGCTTGGTAATTCAGCTTTTGAGT